TGTGTGGAAGCGTAGCTGTTGCATCTATCTGCCTGCTCCGCTGCCAGGATGAAGTGTCGTAAACCACCTGTCTAACCCACATCGGTCCACCCCCCCGGCGGACGCTGCTCGACGGGCCCTTCCATCTCCCCCCCTCCCTTCAAGAACGCCTTCTGGTCAGTTCTACGTCTTGCATACACTCTTGCCCTGGCAGCAGCTTCACTCGTTCACGTGGTTCGTCTTTCCCCCTCTTTATAACCTCCCCTGGACTACATCCGTCCACCTACCTCGGGTATCTGCTCCATTCGCCGGCGGTTCATCTTACCCCCCTAGCCCCCCCTCCCCCGCGGCCTGTGTGCCTTGATGGCGCCTCCAGGACGATGCCGCTGTCATGGCCTTGTTCTTTGGCACCATTGGTGTGCTGTACTTCTCCGTACTGGCCCCAGTGGCGAGTGCGCTGGCGCTGGCGGGCGCGTCCGTCGTGCGCCGTGTGACTGCTAAGGCACTGGGCTTGGCACTGGTGCAAGGTAAGTAACGCCTCTATCGTAGCACCTGAACATGCGCCAGCGCCATGTACCGCAATACTGGAATGGCTGTTGAAAGCAAAAGTAACTTGTGTGATGATGGGACGCAGAGTGAGGAATGTAGTACGAGAGGTGCAGTACAAGCGCAGCAATCTGTGTGTGTGTGGGGGGGGGGCGGCGGGAGAGGGGTTTAGCCCCGTTTGTTGTGTGTTCACGTACCGGGTAGGGTTCGGCGTCCTGGTGTTCTTGGTTCTTGTTCCGCCATCCCGTGTCCACACCCTGTCTCACCGCTCTTTCCGGCCGTCTGCCCCTTTTCCCGTCCCGCCCCGTCCCGCCCCCGCCCCGGTCTATCCGTATCCTTGTAGTTGCTCGGCCCATATAATTACACACCTTAGTTGCATGCACCCTCCGTTGTACCCCACCCTAGCTTAAGAATAGAGGGGTTGAACAAGTTTATGTTGCCTGTGTTGATGGATTAAAGGGATCCATTTTCATAGGTTATTTCTATTATTTTGTGGAATGAAGTAACCTATAACCTAATTGTTCACTGCGGTAATACCACCAGATATAAAAGACACGCTTTCGGTTGTCTTGCACTGCACCTGCACCTGGGGCAACTTGCATAAGTAAGCCCTACCTCCCGCTCCCGCACCCCACCCCTCCCCACACACTGCTCTTCAACCCCTTCCGCGCTCACACGCTCAGGCCTCATTGACTACGTGGCTGCCGACTACGCCTGGGCGCGAGCTGTCATGCTGCTGGTGAGGGGTGGGGTGGGGTGGGGTGGGGTGGGATGGAGGGGTGGGGGGGTCTCATTGCCTGCCCTCTGAAAAGGGGGTGTTGCCGCAGTCCAGGGGGGTTCAGCTTACTGGGGATGAGTGGGTTCTATGTAGGTGGCTGCTGGAAGGAGCCAGGAGAGGAGGGTGGGGTGATGTTGGCATGAGTGTCGTGAGTGTCGACCTGGCGGTCCATTGGGTTTCAATGGGCCCGGGGGGGGGGCGGG